ACTGGTACGAACAGATTACAAGGAATGAAAAGCTGTGGACCATGGTTGTCACCCATGAGGAAAAAATCATCGGGGTTCTGGTGGCCGAAATTAAGAAGCTGAGTCAATGCAATTTAGAAGTATCATTTTCATCGTCATTATTGTTTTTATTAGTTTGAAACACTTCTGCTTCTTTCAGGATCAGAATATTTTGCCGAAAAGCTACCCTGCGAATACAGCGGTATGCTACATGCTGAGTCTCGGGGTTCACAAGGATTGGCGAAGACGCGGCATCGCTTCGAAGCTGCTGAACAATCTTCTCACCTACCTGGAAAACGGCGCTTCCGCGGGTTTCGAACCAACTCGTTGTTTGTTTCTTCACGTTTTAGTCGAGAATGAAAACGCAATCAACTTCTACGAGCACCGCCGATTCCGATACGTTTCATTTTTTAATTCAGCCATGTTCAACTTAAACTAATGTTTTTGGTTTAGGCGACACTCACGTCTTAAATCCTATTACAAAATCGATGACAAATACTATGATGGCTTTACGTACGTATACTACCTTAACGGTACCATTCCTCCATGGTCTCTGAGGTACGAACTTTTTCATAAAAAACATTTGTAATGTCATATAGCTTTCTGAGGAAACCTTTCTGAGGTATACGGGTCGAAACCCAAGAATTTATGAAACAACCATTTTTTCTCTCAGCATTCCATCAGCCCTAACTTCAAAGTTTCTGTATTTTCAGTTTGCTGTTTTTGTTACTAATTGCTGTCAATCCCCATGGTTGCTAAAATTTGCATTAGATGTCGAAGCGCAGTTTTTCGTGGTATCAATGTTATAAATTTAGATGACGGTCTTCACCCAGCCGCTAGATAAGCTTTTTCCATGAAAGACTATTCGTAGTATTATGCTATCATTAGGATAATGGGGTTCTTTGCATGATTCTTTACTTAATGCCGCAGCATACCAAATTTTTGTGTATATGTAACGTTTTGGATTGAGCATGATCCGAAGCGTAGAATATATACATAGTAAATTTGATATGCGATATAGTTCCGTAGAGGGTATTTCAATTTTGAACTTAACTGCGGCATGAAAATTTAACTACAGTTTTTTACAATAGTCAGGAACATGTGACAAATAGTGATTCTGATGGTGTTTGCCGCATGCCACGCCAGACAGAAATTTTCGTTGAAAGGCTATATGTTCATGTGCTTTTTTATTTCAGGAGGCGGTGTGTGGTTATGCATAAATGAAGTTTTGTAAATTTAAAGTTCGTTCTCACTAAGAAGTTTTTTGAATGTCTCAGGCAAATTCCTTTTGTTAAAGTTTCTAGTTTGTTCCGTTACGCACGTTATTCATCATTACTATGTGTTTCGTTAGCATTTTGCTTACAATTATTTTTCTTTAGAGACTCTCTGCTGAACTACGCATCTTTGCTCGTCGTACCTTGTGCGGTTGCTTTTAGACTCATTGGTCATTGGCTTTATCGTATGATTTGCCGTAATCCCGTAAACGAATAGGGATCGTTCTAATCGATCATCTTATTACCCAATGCGAAGTCATAGTTTGCAATTTCTTCAGATAGGGACGAATTCTTGAGAAGCTTTTGTATAGTTTTACTTCTGTTCTGTCGGATTTACTTGCTGATTTTTTCGCACTGTAAACCAGTGGCTGTGTCATGTCTTATACTTTTATTCCAGTAAATGTTTTAACGTTCGCTGCGTGGTTTGCCAAACGGCTAATTGAACCATCTTACTTTGCGACTTTCACTGAATATCCGTTTACCTTACAGAAGATTTGTTTATACCGACAATTCATTCGATCATGGAGGTGTCAGACTCTGAAATCTGCGCCTATTTTGATATGCAGGTAATTAGATGCTGTATAAAGTTTTGCTGATATGTTACTGGAAGTTTTAGGCGTCCTGTTTTGATATCAGCTTCATGAACAAGCAAATCGCGATTGCTGGGTGAGCGGCGCAGATGAAACTTTTTTTAGCAAGCATGCATCTATAATGTTTTGCTTATGTTTAAGCCTTCAGTACAGATTAAGTTGCATTTAGACATTTGATAACAGAATCACTGATTCGCGCAGATTCAGATTTTAATAAGCGGTAAAATGCCGTCAATCGGTTTATGTCAAAGTTTAGTCAGAACGGAAGTATAAGCAGAAAAGTCGACAAAATTATGCTATTTGAAGTGTCAGTCGATCAGCCTATGTGAATGTCCTATCGGAACTGCCGACTTACGGTAAGCTTAGGTTTTGGTTGACAGTTTGATGAACGTTGAGCGATAGACGCTGACTTCGATCACGCTGAACGGGCTTACGATGCAGTGAATGCTCGATGTTAGCAAGTTTTCCCTCATACGTGATTTTCGCACTTATTACGTCGCCGATGATAGTCTGGATAACCATCTCACAGCCTATCTCTGCGATGACACTAATGCAGGACACATGACGGTGAAGCATGAAACAACCAAAGCGCACCGAAGGATGATAACTTATACCGATGTCATACGCTGAGCTACTATGGTACTCTTCAACAACATTAGGGTGCAACGACAAAATAATCCAATGAAGACTGATAAAGGTTATTGCCGTGGCATCGCTTTGTTATTAGCTAAAAAAGTTCATTGCTTCGCTTGCACTTTGGTTATCATAGTAACAAATAAAACAAAGGGTTTATTCTACATAGTCTTACATCAAAGTCATGGCAGCAAGCATATTCTCTATGACGATTCACTTCGTATCGCTGTTATGAGTCATCTGCTTAGTTGTAGTGGTTGTAAACTGTCGTCTGAATCTCATTCAACTCATGCACCAGTAAGACGGCTAACGAAAGAAATAGCCTTCCAAATCATTTCCTGACCGGAAGAAACAACTGGATCAGCTTCTGCATTATCCACCTTTTCAACACTACCGTGGTTTTAGGTGCGACGTAAACTTTACTTTTTCAGACGTTCCGGTTTGCAGCGCAGAAGCCTCTCATCAGGCCTATTTGCGATCACTCCTCATGATAATTTCTGTGCCGGAAGACGAAACGCCTGAATTAATAAATATCACGCCTGGTAGTACTTTGTTGTTGAAAGGATGGATAATTTCGTTACTGTAAGATGGTCTTTTAAAGATATTGGTTATCTTCGTTCTGTGACTGAGCAGCAGCCCAAATGATCTCATTAATGCGGGCAGAATGTCGGTTTATTATGCTGGTAGATGTTTCTTATTGCATTGGGTTCGAAAACCGTTTCCTTTGTATTTGTAATGTGACAGTGGCATAAAGGCAGGTTTTTCAATCAGATTTATTAGGCATTAAACACAAACCTGTGTATATGTTACAGTACTTGGAACAGCTGTTGTCGTTTTAATTGTTCTCTTTTCTGCGCTGTTAAATCATCACTTATTGTTTGACCTACGGAAGGAAAGGAAACAGGAAAGTTTATAACAGTTGGTTTGGATGTCATTGCGTTCACTCTTCCCTGATGAAAGCCATTTCTGACACTGATTTCCGCTTCGATGCAATTACGCATGGGTGCCTGATTTGCGAAAGCAATGTCCTCAACTTGGCGGTAGGAACAGAAATTTACTGTCGTATGCATTTCCTGCACAGTGTTACTAGCTTAACTACGCCAGAACGATGGAAAATGAACGAACAGTTCAAGTGATTCCAACCTGCAATTTTTCTACTGTGAATTCTGCGCTCTATCGAATTTAATCTGAGCAAGCAGCAGATACGTGGATACTTTCATGCACTCTGAGCGGTGAACTCTGAAGCTGAATAGCCAAGGAAAAATTTATTCAGCTAATGTAATGAATTTTTAGAACTGCTGATTCTTGCAATTTGACTATAAACAAAATTAAATTCTGGCAGCTTTTGGTTGCTGAATGGTATATGCTTCCATTCATATCGTTTTAGCTTGTCTAGCGAACAGTGGAAGACTACTCCTCATGTAATAATGAATGGCAATTTGTGCCTTCAGAGAAAATGTTTTCATTTGCGTTTATTAAACTGATGATTTGCCCGTTTTTCACCGTCCTTTGATTAAGCTAACAGTTGAGTTGCGTTAACACTTCGTTTTAGGAAAAAGTCAATAATCTTTTCTGATGTTTCATCGCCTAATAGCGTCACCGGCTGTTTCATGCGGAAAAGCAAGCGTGGCATTCAGCAAATTCGCTGGTGTCCAAATGAGCTGAACAAGCAGCTGTTTCTTGCCGCGGTTTCTTAGGACGTGTCTTTGGGTGATGCTGATTAAACCCTGCTCATTTTAGAGTGGAAACAATTTCGAGCTCTATTCTGTCGGGACGGACTCTACTCCTTTGGCCAATGTCCAAGCGCATTCTCGTACGATCAGTGACACTGACTGGAGTCCCTTCGATCCGTCGTTATGGGCGACTTGCTCGCTGAGTGACTCGACGTTCATTTGGGATGCAAGGGATCTGAAGAAAGCGGTCACTTCGCTGTCGGTGCTTGGTATAAGATTTAATAAATAATTAAATTTTTTCCCGTTCTTCATTAGTGCTTATGCATAGTACGGTTTTGAACCTGAACACCGCGCTATCTGTGTTTGAAGATTGCACT